ATCGCACCCATGATTGTGAAATGCCAACAATCCGTTAACAAGTTGCACGTCGGTCAAGATCCAACGTCCACCATCGCGATTCAGTACGAACATACACAGGCACGGTAAACCCACAAAAAATAACTCAGTTCACGGACAGAACACAGACACAACTTGCAATCGATCGCCCCACCCTCAACAGGGCAGAAGACAAGACCTCCGAACGAGGCATATTATGATGAAAACTCAGGCAATCATCAATGAAACACGTGGGTATTAATAGGTTTACTAACGACCTTGTGAGATTGGCCAAGAATGGCCCTGGTCTGAGGTAAGAACGGATTTGCAGCCACCATTCTTAAATAATAAATAACAACAAAATTAGCAATAAATCCCCATTGCCTATAGTTACAGCACAACTTTTGGAAAAGCTGGCGTTTTCCCAATACCCTTCCTTTTAAAAATTCTCGTACCTTGAACGACGTGGATCCAGCTCCAAGGACGTTGTCAGAGGTTTCCAAACGGTACATCTTCTGGGTGTGCGTGTGCTTGAGGGGATTCCGAACGTGTCTAGCAGTATTTCCAACGTCACTTATTCAATATCGGTAGTAGTGACATTGTCATCGCATGGAGGAAGTTGGTTTCTGTGCCGTACCCATTTGTGTTGTGCAATCGTCACTTCGTACATTATGGGACGAGTGCGACCTACAACCACTGCTGGGGCTCATGATCCGTCACGAACGTAGACCAAATAATCAGTTGAAAATGTTGACCCATATGTGTGTACCGGAGTTGGCAACGAATTTCCCGACGAGAGCATTGCATCACAAATGGTGCATGGTTTTCGTCCCACTAGGCATCCGGCAAAGGAGGATACATTTGGTGTTGCCGGTTTGGTGTGTTTTTGTGAAGTATAAGGAAAACTTTGAAGTTTTCGTCCGTAGTTCTCTCACATTGCCATTTTAAAAGAGCCCGTTTGAACGTGTTCACAAACCGTCCTACCTGACCGCTCGATTGCGTGTGGTGTGGCGGGGTGCGAACGTGGTTACTAATGCTCCGACGACAGAGGTGTTGGAAAAGTGAGGATGTAAACTGTGTTCCGTTATCTGAAATCAGGGTATCTGGAAACCTGTGCTGGCTAAAAATTCTGCGCATAGCTGAGATGGTGGACGTTGTTGTCAGTTGGGACAGTGAAATTATCCCAAGTCATTTGGACGTTGTGTCAATTGCGATTAGATACACAATGCCATAAATTGGGCTAACAAAATCGACATGTAGGGGCCACCACGGCCTATCGGGTTGAGTCCACGGTTGTGGGGCTATAAGGGGAGAATTTGCCGTGCCGTCAGTAACGGGAACACTGTTAAATATACATCACTATCTGTTGGTCTATACTCCGCCAGTTGACGTAGCTTTGGATGATGGCCGATATACGTTCTGAACCAAGATGGCCTGTTTGAGATTGACGAAAGACGATCGATCGAAGCGAAGAAGAAATGACGACGTGATCAGCAAACATTAGTAATGGATCGATTATGGACAGGATGTCTCGATGGAGACAAATCTACCGCAGTTCTCCAGTGCGTGCTGTTGAGGGCCATCGGTTGCGGACGCATCTAATTGCCTCTCGGAAGATATGATCTATGTTCGTTTCTCTATTGATGCCACGAAGAGGGACCAGAACTGCACGGGCAGCCGCAGCCCGGTGTGCAAAGATTTGATTCCAGGGAGACCGCTGCGATGATATCGTTTCCCTGCTCCTGTTGATCTGCACTGAATAACCGGGAGAGGGCGTATACCCGACCGAAGTCTTGCGTTCGTCGGTAACAGATTTCAAAGGTAGTTCAATAGAAAAGTTACCCAGCGCTGCAATCTGTTGGCAGGCGTCAGAATGCACTTTTTAGAGAAGAAAATAGCAAGTAACGGTTGGTTATCAAACGGAAGCGGTGACCGTGGAACTTTCGCAAGGCGAATACTAACGCAATAGGTTCATTTCCGATTTGAGCATAATCCTCCCAGGTTGACGTAAGCATATTAGCAGTATGCATGATTAGTTTTTCCGATCTGTATGGAAACGCGTGAGAAGTGACAGCACCGACGCCTTGGCTGGAAGCGTCTGCAGCAACTACGATCAATAGTTTGGGATTAAAATTTATCAGGTCGGAACCAAGCATCTTTTACAGGTGGTTGAATGTACGTTCACTTTATGGTGAGCACAAGCAAACACACTTGTTTGAGCAATTTATTCAAGGGTGTTTTGATATCGTGGAAAGCCGGTAAGACGGCGCTGCAGAGAGTCACTGGCTCGAGGAAAGACTGTAGAGAGGATACAGTCTTCAGATCGGACATCCGGATTACAAGTAGATTTTCCGAGTCGGAACGGCAATCATTTTTACCGATTACGAAACTGAGACACCCGATTTCTGAGAGAAAAACTGACACTTGTCCGGTTGCAGCAGGAATTTGTATTCCTCTACACGATGTAGTACCTTAGAGATCCTTTCGTATAGCTCCTCAATGGTGATATCACCCAGATACGCTGCAGCGACGGTTACGCCAGAGAAGATATAATCCATTGTCTGTTGAAAAACAGCAGCGGATGACTTGATTCCGAACGGTAGGCGATTATACTGAAACAAACGGCGGTTCATATTGATGGTCCGCATCTCGCGGGACTACGTGAATACTTTGATTTGTAAGTAGGCATCCGTCAGATTCAGCTCGGCAATCCAAACTCCCCCATTAAGCATGGTGAAGATGTCTTCTGAAATCTGCAGAGGATGGCAATAATCTTCCAAAGCATTTAATCCGGTAGAAAAGTCGGTATATATACGAACTGAACTTCTTTGATGACAATCGGAACTGCACATGGGGAATAAATCACCGGAGAGATAACGCCCATTTCCTCGATGCGCTGTAGTTCTGATCTATTACCGGAAGCGTAGCGTAGGGCAATGGTCGCTTTGGGAGACCCAAACACGCTTTAAACAGGCAGTTAGACTAGGAGACTGTGATCCAGGTCCCGTAAAGTTTTAAGCTAAGCACAAGGCGAGTCACGTGAACCCAAACCTGGAAGGCGAGACGGACCAATAGCACCCAGTTTTGAAGTCAGAGACTTCATTTCAAGCTGCCATGTCAACTTTTGTCCATCTCGAGTCTTGCGCCAACGCACACCTGGCAGACTAAACAAGGCCCTTCTCGATAAGCGGGAATACGTATTATGTGCCCAAGCCAACGAAACTTAGTGCTGACTGTCGGTCAAAGGAACTACGTTGAATCACTGCCTAGCATTCGCTCACGCACATCATCGTTGCGGACACATTGAGGCCATCTGACAACAACAATGTTTCGCAGATACTGATGATCAAAGACTTGAAGGCGCCGCAAGTCCTCGGATCGAAAGGTCCAAGTATCACTCCCATAAAGTAGGTCGGCACTCACCGTGACCTTGTAAACACGGTCTTTTAGATCGAAGGGAACCCCTTCTGACGCCAAAGATGCCGCAGATTCAAGAAAGCAGTTCTGGCTTTTGCAATACGTGGTTATGCGCCCATCGTTGCTGATGCAGCTGCCAGAGTAAGTGAAACGATCAACCACCTCAAGTTCCTTGTTATCAAGTGGTTGGTGGTCCTACAGTAACACTGCACTTTGGAAGTGCGTAGAGCATGTCAAGTGGTGATACCACTCTATAGAGGCTAATCAGGTTTGATTGGGCAGTTTCAACATCACTAAACAGCATAACAATATCGTCCGCATAATCAAGATGAACTAGCCTTTCATAAGGCACTACCTCGACGCCTGCATCGTAAGCGTAGACTCCACGATGGAGTCCACAACGAAGTTGAACAAAAATGATGAGCTTAGCCCTGTAAATTAGTGGTCAAACAGCCGGAGAACATCAGACAGGCTGAAAACCCAATCATTCGGAAAAAAGTAGATGCCGTACAGGTATTGAAAGCCGTTTCAGACAAGGAAAGGTCAATGCAACCTGTATAGAGACCGCTTCATGCAGATATTGGAGTGCTTTAACGCAAAAGGAACAAACAGTTTGCTCTGTGAAATGAATTTGTAAATTCAGTAACTATACAGTTTTGCACTTAATACGAAGGCCACAACCGTGAAATATAAGTTTTAGCTCCCTGCTGCTGTTTCAAGTGCACTTTCCCTCCTATAAACGAATGACAGCTGGATACGTCTCCCAAACCCAAAATAAGTGGATAACGAGTAAGTAGGGTATAATCAAGTGGGATAACCGAAAGCGTAGGAACAATTGTCGGGAAATAAAACAATCAACTTCCAAACGAGTACGTGCAGGTGGTAGTTGGCTAAAAGGTAAAGCATATGATTAAGAAGATTTCATGTGATTTCTTGGATGGTGATGATGAAGTATCGAAAATAGCCGCAGATGTTCGCCTGAGGAGTGTTAGTAGAACTTCGTGCGTAACCATGCCGCAGATGGCCCATGTTGCAACGATGGAAAAACCAGCTGAAACGCTATGATAGTCAAAAGACTATCACATTTGTCGATAGGAAGGATGGTTGAGGCCTAAGGACAACACTACAGGTAAGAGTGAATGGAGTTTTTAACAAGTCCAAAGACAGTGACGCCAATGAAAAGGAGTCGCAGCCTGATTGACTGGGTTATGTGCAGTTCCAAGACTACTCCTGCGGTGAATCTCCGCAAACAGCTTGTGAATGGAAATAACTGAAGCCATAAGATCGGATAGATGAACTGATCAGAAATGCAAGTCACTAGGATCGAGGTAAGACGTATACGGTAACAGGGAGCGATTGGATTCCCAATCACAACAACAGTAGTGGAAGCAAGGAAAGCCCCTTAATTCAGCCCTGCTCAGTGTTGGGTGACCCCACCACAAAGTCTATGACGAACTCAAGCGAACAGTTGATAGAGAACATAGGCAGTCGGACGAACAGACGAAGTTGGGCGAACAGTTAGTGAATAACTTGGATGCAGATGAAAAGTCTTAATATCGGAGGAAGACAAAACACGCGGGACATACTCTGCTTGAATGCGTGATACACGTTCAGCATAGTTAAATGGTCCCCATCGATATGAGCGAAACGCATTTTCGCTTCATCGGCGGCCTTTTTGGCCTCGGCGGGTCTGACAAAACACTGTGGAACTGGGAGAATGGAAAGCAAAAGAAAACTTTTACCAAAAATGTTAAAGTGGTGACAAAATTGGCATTTATTTCCGTGCAAAAATGCGGAGAAATGAAAAACAGGCCAAAGCAGCGCTTACCAGACAGCATAGCTGTGATGCTCAGTACTTCATTGGAACAGTTAAAATCACATGAGGCGATCACCATTTTGGCCAACTGGGGGTCTAGAGGGAATTCTGCCATCATGCTTCCTAAGTCGGTGAGGTTGCCATCATCGTCCAACGCGGCTAGGTAATTTAATAGTTCCAGAGCGCGCATCAGAGTTTCGGGAGCTGACGGAAAGGAAGAACGATTGAAAGGAGTCACAAAGAATGAGCATGAATAATGCGTGCTTTAGGAAATGGGGGTTTGTGAGCCGGGTGACCGTTAATTGTCGTTCGTAAGACATTTGAAATTGACCAAGCCAGTGGATTAATGTGCCCGAATACAAACAAGGCAAACTGTTGACCGAGCAACGAAAAATCGGTCCTTCAAATAGGATTTGAAAACGTAAGCGGATGACCTGGACGACATACTGCAAGTCACTAAGTGTGAAAATCAGTGAGTGTAATAAGTTAAAGCGGCAGTGTGCGTTAGTGAGTCAGCTCGATGATGTCAACGACTACGTCAATGGGTAAAGTGAGGGTACCACTAGGTCAGGTAAAAGATTGTCCGTAACCATTGAAACGATCCACTTAGTCGATGTTACGCGGGAAGATGAGGTAGAACGCGATTTAGCGACTCGGCTATAGTGACCCATTGAGCAATATCCTTCAACAGGATGTGCTTGTGAGAAAAAATACCATGCCAAAGTAAGCCGAAAGAAGCGTGCAGAATATATGACCCTTACAGTGTGGACTGGGGATTCATCAAACCGGCTGGCGCAACACCAGTACCATCAGATGCAAAGTTGTGAGCCAAACAGTCACATGGGTTTGTGGTGATTAGCATCAAGTGAACATAATGTGAGTTCTACATCTGATTCAAATGTTAAAATAAGCCATCGAGAAGCCAATTCCCGATCGCGGATGCGCTTGGAAAGGCCCGGTGATGAACATGAGGAGTGGTAAGTCGGAAGCTGTGGTGATGCGGAAAGTACGATACAGCAGTATACGAGCACTTTTCGCCCGTGCTTCTCTAGCATGCAGTTGCAGGAGCATGGATCCTGCCAGGGTGCCCAAAACTGGATAGCACCGTGGACTCGAGTTTGGATGTAGGAGGCACCAAATAAGGATGGTGTTACGATACATTCGGCACATTTAAATCACCTATTGTAGTTGTGAATGACAGCCGGCAACCATTACGCTGAAGACGATCCTAAAGACGTGTGAGACGATGCTTTTTCAGCACGATGCCAAGTTGAGGTTTTCAAAATACGCAGGATTGCCAATAGCAAGGAATGTTGTAGCAGCCTCCGAGGAGAAGCAAGCTGATACAGTAGGCAATACAGGTCGCCCAGTGGTCGAAAGCATGACGTACTTGCCCCGTAATCCGCAGCTCACCGGTTCGAATGCTAGTGCATGCGAAGGACCTAGCGGTATACTGAGCCCATGGGCAACTGTTGATTGTAGCGAAGCACCGACAGTGTGCAATGGTACAACTGGTGAACAAGTAAAGTTTCCCTTGGCAACTGACAAGCTAGAGAAAGAAGCGGTAGTACGTTTCGCACAGTAATCATTTTGCGAATGGGAAAAGACATCAACGGTGCAACCAGAACCCCATAGCGATCACATGTCGTTGCACAACCGCTAGCTGTCGCATACACGCGAAAATACCACGGGATCACTCACAACTATGCAGCTTCGAAGCAGTATGCCGTGAATTGCAAGATAAATGCCTGAAAGACCTAGAAGCCATAGGACTTATCGGGACTTATAGCAGTGCGATGCTTCCAATGGAGTGGAACGACATCCGAACTCAGTAGAACAGACCGCTGTACGAAGGGTACAGGAATGAAGCATCACTCCGGGCTCCACTTCAATACTGAGCAAGGGAAACATCCATGTCTCGTGTGGATGTTTTCACAAGGTAGACTAGAAATGCATTAGGGCCCAATTTAATTTCCCTTCCAGGAATGCGATTTAAGGCATTGATGTCGTCGTGTTGCAATAAAATAATGTGTCAGCTGTACGTCGTAAGGGCGCTTCGGTGCCACGCGACCAGCATCAGTCGCGCGAGCGCTGACCATACAGCGAGGACGCCGCCCCTATGCGGATTCGAATCAGTGACCTTATGGTTGCAAACCAAATGCGCAGACCATTCAGCCACGGGCCGACGTTGTGGTGTTCGGTATCTAGCAGCAGTCGGGAACCCCGACATGTGTGCGCGTATGAAGTCACGAGCATAATCAAGTTCTTGGTTGGTCTGTAACATTAAAGTGACGAGCGCAAGCCGACTGCAGTAACGTCAAGTATGGTATGATAGTCTTTCGTCCAGGTGTCCGTCGCGAAACGTGATGCTACCACTGTGTCCGAAAATCGGCGCTGTTGATGTAGAGAAAGAGCTCCAAACACAATCGAGGTCATCACCGGAACAAGCAACAACAACAACAACTGAGCGTCTTGATAAATGGCAACGAAACTTCAAAGTGAACCTCACAAGGGAGATTACATATGTATTCCGTGCAGTTCAGACGGCTGATGATGAAACTAGCCTTGGGAGGAAACGGGGTTGTCTGCGGATAAATCAGCCAAAACGGAGAGACTGTCCTGAATACTGACACTGAAATGTGCACAGCTCAGTGAATTAAAGAACAAGATGCGTTCAACAACTCTGCGTGCAGGATTCCATATAGAAACTACATCGAATCATGCGCCAATCGCCGAGGGAAACGCCAAGATGTCAGTGCTCGCTAACGCTTGGGATGGAATGTTTTGAAACATAGCAAATATCACACCCACGGAAAGGAAGAGGCTTAATCCGGAAATCCCAGTACAAAACGACATTTGGGTGCAGCAAACGTTAGTTTAAATGTGAGTGGATACGGAAATGCTAACAGACTGACGTTTATCCAGCCGATGAAAGATAGAAAAAAGATCAACTAAGGTCTGTGCACACATTCCTGTCGCAGCTGTTCATTCGAAGGAAGCGGCGTGATTCGAAGGAGTCCGCCCCTACTCTTAGACATAAAGCCTAATCCACGAGAAGTTGGTAAAAACCGGATGGAACTGCAGTATCCCATGCGTGGTTGTCTGAGGACAGTTGGATACAGGTCCAAAAACGTGAAATGAACAGCAGAAGCTTTCTCAACAAAATAAATCAGGACTCTAGACCGTTGGGTTTGGAAACTTCTAAAAAGGTGGGCAGTGAATGAAAGCAAACCCCAACAGTCCATTGAGCAGTGCTCGCCGTGAACGCACACAAAAACAATAAGCTCACTCTAGGTGACCTGACAGTGGGGGTGAGAACGACGGCCTTCAATGAGTAGTAAACCATTCAAAGCCCTCTTAACCATGAAGTGATGTTATCAGGAGTTGAGTCAAGTAGTTGCAGCGACCAAGTGCGTGATGAAAGTGTCTAAATACCTAAAAAAAGAATAACCAAGTCGATACAGCCATGGGCTCTGCTGGGTGAATGAAACATGCGCCTAGAAGGGATGATTGCATACCGGAAGAAGCGGTATCCGAAGAAAGCTTGTTAAAGAGCAGCTGCTCATAAGAAATGAATAAATAAACACGCCTAGATAAGTGAAATGTGGATGGGAAAACAAAGCGAAAAATGAGTTTTTCCGTCGTGTATCAAGACACACACCAGGAGGATCCATAAAGTCAAAATGGACCAAATCGTCAATGCCTAACTTCTTCAACTGCAATACAACAGTGCCTAAATTGGATCGCAAAATTTCCGGATACGTGTTGTCTTGCATCTCATTGGCATAAGCTTTCTCAGTGTAGAGACGAAAACATTTGCCCGGTTTCGTTCTTCCAGCTCGGCCGGCGCGTTGTTGTGCGGAAGCCTTGCTAATCGCTGTCACCAACAATGATTCGACTCGAATGCGTGGATTGTACACTTTCTGCTTCGCAAATCCGGGATCAATCACGAAAACCACACCATCGATTGTGAGGGACGTCTCAGCAATATTGGTTGACACGACCACCTGAAATGAGACAGTCAAAAAAAATTGGATTTGTACGGGTGGCGCTAAAGAATCGTAGTTATAAAAGTGAAATAATTAGAAAAAAGAAAGAGGGATCAACTCAAATAAGTGCTATGGATCAGATGTTCAACACGGGGGCATCAGCATAACGCCGCTTCGTTGCAAAGCGATCACCAAAAGTCTAACGTGGAACGGGAACACAACAAGGTCGCCCGTGTCTACGCAGGGTCAAATCGGTGACCTGTGGATTACAAGTTAGACGCCTGGACAACTCGACAGGGGGCCATGTAAGACCTACTTATGTTCCACTACTATGCGACCACAAGCGCCTGTATGTTGGCTGAGATACTGCAGGGAGGCTCATACTATAGGCGAGCGAGGACTCCAGTCCGGAGCATGGAGGTTACAAGTCAAGTGTCTGAACAATAAAAAGACATGCTAAAACTGATCGAAATGCCTAGGGCAATAAAAAAAGTTACTGGCTGAGCATCGAATAGTGATAACTCAGACGAAGAACAGAAGGAGGATGGAAAAAAATCTCCTTCAGACAGAAAAACCACGGGAACATGACGTGAAAGTTGCACAAGTGGACAAAATGCATCTTTCAAGCGCGGTGGGTATGTCAGAATTGCTAAGCTTATGTCCAACTGCTTGAAAAAGCAGAACCTCAATGGAGCGGGAATTACGAAAGACAATAAAACAGTTGTCCGAATTGATCATGAGAGTTAAGGTAGAAAATGATCAGATACGAAGTGCATGTATTTTTCAGGCGAAGACCACCCAGTTTGCCAAAGCAAAAAGATGAAGGATTACGCAGCTTGGCCTCCCGGTAAATGGCACTGATCCGCTTGACTGTCATCTGTACAGTACTATGAGCCAGAAATGAAGCCAGGAACTCACTCACATGAACACAGATTATGGGAGTATCAATGAACGTCTACTAGTTACGAATCGGTCTTCGAACAGCATGGGTATATTAGTTTGTCTATATTGGCACAAAAAGTACCCCGGATTGCACATGAGAGATGGTGGTAAGCATTTGCCTCGGAATCCGACAGTGCACTATTCCAGAAGCAACTTAATTCTAGTTAGGTTCAGGCCAGCCTATCAACTGCCGGCTCAGCGCCTTGTAATCCGGGGGCGCGGGTTCGAGCATGCGTAGGGACCGGGCGACCATCGCAGTATCCTTAGCCCACGTGCGACCGGTAGTGATTGCACGGCAGCAAAGCGTAGGTACTGCGTACCGGCGTACTGCTGATGTCGGCCTATCAACTACGGTTAGCGTAGAAAAAAAGCGGCGGAATCAGTGGCCCTTAAGAACATTCCCAGAAAGTACTACTATTGTCAATACTAGAATAACATGAGGAGTGTATAGAAGGCTAAGATCGGTATGTGATGTAGTCAACAGTAGTGAAAAGGAGGAAAGTGCGAGTGCAACGTCCGTCGAGGTGGCTGACTAACGGTGACCTCTTATGACGTCGCCATCCAGGAGGACAATACGTACCAATTGTAGTTAACCTTCATTCTTACGTCACCTAACGGACAGGGAAAACCGGGTAAAAACTGGCTGAACACTTGCAAAAATACACACAGTGACAGAACCAGTGTCCAAGTGGAACGTTTAACAGCACCCGCAAGCAAGATAATCGAACGAATGTATCCTCAAATTCACTCACCTTTCTACCAACAGCACCATTGGGGCGTTTTGGTGGGGGTGCGTCAAAAATGCGCTGTTGTAAGTTGGGTGGTAGAGTGGAGTACAGGGGAATGCACCGAAGTTCACCGACGTCTGGTCCAAGACCATCGACTTCACGTTGAATACGCTTACATGCTTCTTCGATTTCTTCTTGCCCGGTCAAAAAGAGCAAAATATCACCTTCAACTTCCTCGCACATGTGAATCTGAATCACAGTTCGAATTGCAGCCTCCAAATAATCACGTTCGGGCTCAGGAGTATAGAAGATTTCCACAGGATGAGTGCGTCCGGGAACTGTCATAAGGGGAGCTTTGAGGAAGTAGTCCTATGTTTTATCAGAAAGGGGAAGAAGGATACATCTTCATCCGAAATTTCAAGTGGATAGAAGGACGGGGAATATAAACGGCACAAGTCAGCAAATTGCTGTTTGCACCGGTCATGGAGGCAAATATTGAAAGGCGACTAACTTGAAATTTCCCTGCATCTAGCGTGGCACTCATTACCACAATTTTCAGGTCTACTCGCTGTTTGGTGATTTCTTTGAGCAGCCCCATAAGTATATCAGTGGCCAGAGTACGTTCGTGGGCTTCATCAAGTAACACAACTCCATAGTTTTCCAGTAGCGGATCAGACATGCCTTCTCGAAGAAGCATTCCATCAGTCATGTATCTAAATCGGCAAAGGATGTAATCGAAAAACGTAGGAAAGTGGACCTACTTCAAAAGAGTGCGGGAAGAGGTGCAATCCTCGAATCGAATACTGTAGCCAACCTCTTGACCAAGCTCAACATCCATTTCCTCAGAGACACGTTGAGCAACCGACATTGCTGCAACACGACGTGGTTGTGTGCAGGCAACTGCCTTCTTCGTGGGATACCTGCCCGTGATCCACTCGAGGCACCATTGAGGAATCTGAGTTGTTTTACCGGAGCCAGTTTCACCGACCAATACAGTAACCTGTGCGAATTGCTCGGACAGTCAAATAAAGTCACGCACCTGATTTTCGGAGATAACCTTGTAGAATGTTTCTTTATATTCCCAAACAGGCAGCTGAATGCGCTTCCTGAAGATGTCAAAGTACCGCGCAGAAAAGGGCTTGCCTACAAAAATGAGAAAAGCTCGATATGTTGGAATGGGTTTAGAATCGATCAGGAAGTTGACGTTTCAGATGACTTGGTGAACGACCAGCTAAGGTATCTGTTGGGCTTACGATGTTTCGCCTTGGACACAAAAGCTAACAGTCTAGAATGGTAAGAAGAGAACTACTACAAGCCGGTTTGTAAAGTATGACTATATCTTTTCTCAGTCGATTGCATCCATAGCGCTTTCAACTTTTTCACTGAAGAAATATGCTCCTCCATAGAGCTCTCAAAATGGTCCTTAACGCTTCCAACGTGTATCCAACGGGTGCCAACTCCCTTAAACGCTGCCCTGCATTGAGTGACAAATGCCAAAAAACAATGGCATCCCGCTCAGTGTATTCATCTGTTATACTATCGGCTGACTTGGGTTTGGTTATTCAAAGAACCGTACTCATTATTCAGGAACAATGGCGCACGTTGGATGCAACTTGACAGCGCTATGAACCATCAAGAAAGATCTAGAGAAAAACAAAATTTGCTTAGGGAGAAAGTTGAAAACCACTTGGTTGCAACTGACTGAGCAAAGGCATAAATTGTTTAGGCCCTTAAACGGCATAATTAATAAGGATCATTCACCCAGAAGATAAAGATCGTCGAGAAGTGGGAGGACGTGTAGTTTACATACAGTACTACCGGAGCTACGGACTTCGGAAAATAATAACATACCGTTGTATGGATTGACTTGGACAGAAAATGATGTGGGTATTGGCATATGTGCCTTTGAATTTCTATCTGGTGATCTGGATCTGTCGCGACTGCAGTTGTTCTCCGGCTCATCAGTGAACCTGACAGGAAAAAAAGCGGTAAAAGCAGATAATAGGTACGAAACTCCAAATAAAAGGTGACAGTGATTGCGGAAACGCCGAGGCAACCGTTTTGATGACCACTACTTCACGGCAATAAGAAAATTGGGTTTGCAGTGAGTGAAAGCAGTCTGCCAAACAGGCCAAAAGTGGCCTCATAAACTAAATCGATTAGTGTTGATATGTAAACTAAGGAATTAAGCACAGCCTGGGTTTAGGAAACCCACAACGGGTACTAAGAGTTGTGGCAAGTTAAAACAGCGCCCCCATTGAAACAACGCTAGTTTGCGCAAAGTGAAAGGACACTCCTTCCGCTCAAATCACTGGCGTACACTGCATTGAGTTCATGCACGCATACATCGTCCAAATCGGGCACGCGTCGACTCAATTGGTTAATTATACCATGTGCACAAGGTGCTGTGGATGAAGTTGTCTCGACTCGGACATCTAGAACAAGTAGCAGAAAAAACGAGTCAAACAAACAAGGCCTTACTAAAAAGAATGTAGAATAAGAGATCATGCTGTCTGATGGCTGAGTTTTGAATCAGAAGTACTTAGGAGAAAGTAAGGACCCTAGGGACAAGTAAACTGAAAGTAATCACCGGTGTAATAAGAAAAGTGTCAAAAAAGGATGGGAAACTAGAAAGAAAGAAAAATTTAAGTAAAATATGTTGACTGTCAGCTGAATGAGATGAAATTCAGAAGAAAGCGAAAGCAAGTGACGCAGTTCGTTTGATGGTGTCGTGGCAGAAAGGGTGGTTTGCAACAACTGATGATACAGATGCCAGGGCACCTCCCGATGAAGGGACCTACCGACCAGTCTGTGATGGGAGTATCCAACCCCAGTGAATCGGCGGGACAAGCAGGTGAACGAGACGGACAATCGGATGCGAACCTGACGGGCTGGGTTCTTGGACGTAACAGGTAAGTCATCCGTTTACACGGCTACAATGAGCTATTGACGTCCAATGGCACAATGATTGGTATTCGTAACACGATAGCGAAGGGTGAGAAAAGTAAAATACTGGCCATTATGGAATAGAAAATAAGAACCAAAAATATGTAATGCAATTTATGCATCGGGAAGGATATCGTGGTTGGAGGGGGGAAGCTAAAGGGGAGAGGGACAAAGAAACACACAACACAAACGTTATTAAGGTCGTCTTTGCGCCATGTCACTCTGTGTATCCAACCAAGGGAGTTCATCATCCGTCGGACCTTAGCCCGGTAGTCGGACTAGGGACCAAGTTATCACTTAGTTTCTTCTTTTCCTCTTACATCCACATCTCGGCGCTCAAATGACGCACGTCGCGGGAGTCGATGTGCTGACATGCGCAACACATGGCTCAGCTATCGGAGCCTGCTGCGTGATATAACAATGTTAAGCGTTTCACTCGTCCTTCCAGAGACAAATACGTGACGCCGAAAGCGCTCATTGCTTGCGCATTGTTTTTACTAGATATTAGGTAAAGTGCGATGACAGCGATGATAGCACGTAACTAGTCTCTTAATGTTTGTTGATCTCGCGGGCTAGGTTTCACAAACGTGCAGGAGGATTTAATGCACGGATGCATTGTAAACTCTGCTCTTCGCGGCAAGAGTGATGCCGCGGCGGCGCCACAGGTGACGGGGATTGGCAAAAGTGCCTCGATCACTTCCTATTCGGTTCGTGACCTCCTCTTGCGGCACATTAGCTGAGGTGTGTTTCTCACGCTCAACTAACGTGAATTGATGATGATGAAGTGAACCCATATTCTATCCTCCAGGCACCAATATAAAACCTAGGCAGTCAAATTTCTAAGCGATTTATAGCTGATTACCACTAAGGATCAGCGAATGAGTGGGTCCCTGCCTGTCTTGGAGGTCTTTGCACTTCGAGGGTGCAAAGCATACTCCAAAATGACTGACAGCCAGTGCTAATTTGTCCAGTGATGCTTGGGACGCTAACGAGCTGTCACAGATAAGGGCAACGTCGTCGGTATACTCCAAGTCAAGAAGCCTAATAACTAGGAGAAGCTCCACATTTTGATGTTGTCTAGTGAACGCAGTTTCCATTATTTCGTCGATGGTGAGGCTAAAAATGGTGAGAGCACGTAGCCTTGTTTCTCATCACTTGGCTTGCATGACGAACAACAGCCAGTTGTGACAAATGGGCGGTTCGGGTATTTTCCGTTTCGGTGGCAGTGTTCCAGGACGTGGTGGGTTGAGGCGTGGTAAGCGTAATCCCAATACAAAGCCACAATTGTCTGCCTAACAACACAGCGACATGGAAGATGTTACTCGTCACAAAAAGTCACTGCCCCTAGTCTTCCTCGGAGACCTTGCACATCAGCAGACAATCCGACCATCGGATTCTGCCTTTGAATTCGGGGGTGTTGGTCCCTGATATGGCTTTTCGCCATCTGAAAACTGTATGAACCGGATGTTAAATCACCGGCTCCTAAAGAGTGCGAAACCCCTATCTCGTCCTGCCGCCTTGTAGTTCAGGCCCTACGACCAGACTCGGGGCCGTGGTCACCTGAGACAACTCATTTACTTCGGCCTAGGCAACCGGGTAGTATTTCGCCTACTGATGAACCATGGAACCACACAGCTACGTTCTCTCTTTACGCTCTCTTGATGATCCACAGTCATGCTACCAAACTAACTTTATAAACACGGTAACAATTTAACTACTAATCCCTTGCAGCATTCGCCCCATCATTACTTGACTCTTCAATGGTGAACAACTCCACCTCTGCCGATGAGATTGTTCTCTTACCATTCGTCGACTTAACCACACCGTCATCAACAGGAAGCTACGAGTCCCGAAGTCTGTCATCTTGTTACTGCAACCTGAAATGTAGTTCAAACTAACAACCTTCAACGTGTGCACATCACTGCAGATCGGACAGCTAGTTGGACTTTCACGCACGATGGAGACTCTTACAATTGGTGTTGGCTGCATGAGGGAAACGCGACTTCCCGAATCCAACACAGGCTACTATCTGTCGTCACAAGTCCAAGTACACACCAACTCGCGTCTTCGGCTATCTGGCGACGCTGAGTTTGCCACATCTGGGGAAGCCGAGGTTGGGAACGCCCTCAGTGTTAGGGCCGAGGGCATCTTACTTGACTGGATTCCAACCAACAGTCGCCCTTGTGCTATGGGGCTCGGTGGCTCTTGCAAGGCCAGCAGACATCGAGCAGACAAGCGTGCTCTTTTTGTGATCGCTTACGTTCTCATTGACTGCAGCTCGGATACAGTCAAGTGCTAATAGTATCAACACCTTCAAGAGCTGTTCCTAAGGGCACCAACAACAGATTTCATTGTTTTGGCATCTGCAGTGCAAACGCCACATCGAGGGGACCACATGGGTGTGATGATATTCGATATGACAACGGAGACAGACTGATCAGTCTATGTGATGACCACCAACTTTGCCTCTCCAGTACGAGCTTCGTCGTCTTGGACGCCACTATGCCACCTGGTGTCCTCCATTGCCAACCCAGGGCTGGTCACAAATCGATCACGTACTCATGATTCGCAAGTGGCCAGGCAGCGCAAGCGACTGCAGATCATTTTGGTCAACTGAAACTGATAATGCATTGGTGTGATCAACAGTTTGCATGTGTTTCGGTGGCCTACGCAGTGCCAAACAAAACAGACTAAACCACAACAACCTAGAGGATTCAACGGTGAAAAGGCAGTATCGACAGAGGCTTCGTGAAAATCTCGTTCTCTCTCCTACTCTAGATGATGATCAAGGCTAGTCAAGCCTGCAACAAACCATGCTATCCGCCGGCTCGTCCATTTGCGGACTAACCCGCTGCACAGCCAAAAACTGGATATAGGTAAGATCCCCGGAACTGCTAGATCGTTGACGGGCTGGGTCCGCCGATGTGGACCACAATGAACGCCGTCCGTCTATCACTCAATAGCTGAAATCAAGCCTTCGCTCTGACCATGAATCCTAGTGGTAAAAATGAGTTTCTGAAATGGAAGCCGCTGCATTGGCAGGAAACTTCCGCGGTTTATTTTACATCATCAACGCCAGCGGTTGCAATTCATATACAATCAGTCAAATAATTTGTGAGTCAGAAGACACGATAAGCACCAATCTAAAGTACGATAAATGTGGTCCGATTTTTATGAGCAACACGTTGAAACGCCGTACCGAAGCGCGTATATATAATTTCCTGAAAAAGTCCACGAACTTTCCGACCACTCAACAGTGAACGAATGTTTACCGAAATCTATCGCACAGATGCATTTGCGCGCCTGCGAAGCATTAATGTAGTTCTACCCATAGGTGTACAAACACATGAAATGCTGAACAGACCTATGCTGAATCACCGCTGTCGAGGGACGGATGGAGGCCTAACAGCCCATGGAGCGATCGATATAGGTCGCAGCACATGGCAGACGTAGTTGGAACTGTGTGATGCGTGCATTTTTGGTTGGCCTAGCAGCCCGACTCGTATTGGGACGATCGACAGGTAGACGGCCTTTAGTCAACCTAGTAGACAAGTCAGTGCAATTCTTTCCATTTGGTTATCGGATCACTATCATAGCGATGGAGCAAAAGCATGCACTCTAGTCGTCAAGTAACTGCAACCGGAATCACATAACGTGCCTGTTGATCAGCGCGTGCTCATTCTGCGGCTGTATGGTGACTGCGGATCGAACGAAGCAGAAAGTGCGCGACGATACAAAACTATCAACGCTGCAAGGCGACCAGTTAACAGCCGGTACGTGTTTACAGTGGTGAAAAAGTTCGATAAAACTGTGTGTGCAACGCTCGACAAATCGGGCGGCCTCGCATCATCACAGATGACTTTTCAGCTTGCACGGCTATCCGCGAGGTATTAGTAGAATAGCCCAATGTTGCGACACTACCCCATATGCTGTGCATAGCATTTAAGAGGAAAGAATATTCCGTAAGTATGGTGCATGTTGGGTCCAAGTTTCGTAACCCTGCGATTCGGAGAAGTGGCCTAAA